AATAATAGTAGTAGTAACATTAGTAGTAGTAATAGTAGTAGTAGTAATAATAGTAGTAGTAATATTAGTAGTAGTAGTAGTAGTAGTAGTAATAATAGTAGTAGTAATATTAGTAGTAGTAGTAATATTAGTAGTAGTAATAGTAGTAGTAGTAATAATAGTAGTAGTAATATTAGTAGTAGTAGTAGTAGTAGTAGTAATAGTAGCAATAGTAATAATAGTAGTAATAGTAATAAAAGTAGTAGTAATAGTAATAATAGTAGTAGTAATATTAGTAATAGTAGTAGTAATAGTAATAGTAGTAGTAGTAGTAGTAACAGTAGTAGTAGTAATAGTAGTAGTAGTAGGCTGTGTACATTCTACTGAACAACAGTAATGTATTCCTGCCTTCCATGTCTTCAAGTGAACCAGACTTTTATTTTGACGGGTTGCCGTGAATACCTTTACATTTCTGTGTGTATATATAATATGACACTAGATTTACTGTTCTAGAGAATATGTTTATATAATTATGTCCTCATTTAGAGAGACGGCAGATGCTGAAATCCCGCGAGCGTCACGCAAGCTTCAGTATGTGTGTAACAAACGAAACCGTGCGTCTGTGCCATTCATTCACACAGAGACACGCAGAACTTGCAGGATTCATATTTAAATAGTATTTTTGCTGCTTAATATTTAAAGATACTAGTCTACTTTGTGATTTAATTTAAGAGTAATGACCTACTTTTGATAAAAGTTAGACAAATTTCTTGACATTCAGCGTTAAACTGTTAATTCTGCTTTTATGACTAAATTCCACGATTACGTCTGTGTTTTCCGCATCGCAGAAATCATAGGGCCCCTAAATAACGCTGTTTCATGATAAAAGCAGAAGCTTTTAGGGACAGAAAATGAAATGGAAAAGAGGAAGCAAAAATGTGCCAGGATCGCATCGAAAGATTAAAACTGACCTGGTTTCGTAGGACCTTTGGGAGGTTTAGGAGGTACAGGACCCAAGAATCCAAGGTTGTCATAAAAATTGTGAATTGCAATGGGATTGAAGTCTGGTCCTAAAAGTCAGAAGAACCAGCGGTCAAAACATTTGCAGGGAGCACAAGATGAGCTGTTAGCATTTTAACAGCACGCAAGTCACAAATGTGTGGGGAAAGAAAGGGCACTTCATAATTAATAACTGATAAATACTGGTGAGTGGAGTGCATGCCAGCGTTTCCACACACAGAAGAGATCTGATTCACACACACACACACACACACACACACACACACACTCTCTCTCACACCAACACACACACACACTCTCAAACACACTCTGACACACACTGACACACGCGCTCTCACGCACTCTCACACACACACTCACTCTCACACACACTCACTCACACTCACACACACACACACACACACACACACACACACTCACTCACTCTCACACACTCACTCACTCTAACACACACTCACTCTCTCTAACACACACTCTCTCTCACACACACACACACACACACACACACTCACTCTCACACACACAC